CATCACCATGAAAAATGATCAAAAATAGACTGGAAACATGGAAAAAATTGTTGAGAAATAACAGGATGGGTTTGATTGCTGTAATGCCAAGAAAGCAATTTAAACATAAATTGAAAAAGAAAAAAACATTTTATCCCATCTTGGTGATCTCACGATGCTGGCTTTGACAGAATGCCAACATGTTTTAATCCTTCATTATCTAACATTTTCTTATTCACGAGACCCCTATTATAAGGCCAAAAAGACATAGAAAATTAGAATATCAAAAACTCCAGTAATGTTATATTGTGGCCCACATCAGGCCTCGAGGTCCAATGTTCTGTCAGATCAGCATATGTTGTCAGATTGTCATAAATGTAGCACAAACTGATGATTATATCTGTCAGAGAAGTGCTTTTATTTAATCACCAACATGACACCATGACGTATTAGTTATATTTTGTTATTATGACATCATGACCTAGCAGTTAAACAAGTCAGACCATCATCACAAACAGGAAGGTGGGTTTTATACAAGGCGTGTTTTGTGGCGTATTTAAAACACCCTGCTTTAAATACACTTTGAAACCACGGCAATGCATCTATATACATTAGTTATAAAAAAATGTATTTACTTTTTTTTTGTTGCATCTTTGTTGCTTAATTGACAGGACCTCTTATTGTGTATGCATACGTACTCACTGAATGTATGCTTTTCTCTGACAGCATATGATCTGACTGAACACTGGACTCCAGCAATGTTTAGATGTGTCAGGGCATTAGCATTGCTTTGGAGAGGTTTATTGCATACTGAGGAAGTCCTTCATTCATTTCATTATCCCTGTGTGTGGAACAAATTTAAAGTTTACGACATACAAAAGACACTATGAACTGAATTAATGAAATACATCAACTCTGCGACAATTTATAATGCTGCTACTGCAAATTGTGAACTATTAAATGGCTTTATTTTATGCTCACTGACAAAATAGGCTAACCTTCAACAAATTTGCTTGTATTTGGATGATTAGTACTGTACCAGGCATCAACTGAAGCAACTGACAGTTAGATGAGGGAACTGAAGCAACTGCTAAAAAAGAACAATCTGGACAAATCACTACTGCAGAATTACAGGCTGATCTCAAACCTCCCATTCATCAGCAAAGTTATTGAAAAAACTGTGTGTAAACAATTAAATAGTTTCCTCATGATGACCAACTGCTTTGACACTTTCCAATCTGGTTTTCGTGCTCACCACAGCACGGAGACTGCCCTCGTAAAAGTATTCAATGATATCCATAAAAATACGGACTGTGGGAGAACCGCAGTGCTGGTTCTGTTGGACTTCAGTGCAGCTTTTGACACTGTCGACCATGATACAGTTAGGGCCAGAAATATTTGGACAGTAAACAATTTTTGTGAGTTGGGGCTCTGCATGCCACCGCATTGGATTTGAAATGAAACCTCTACAACAGAATTCAAGTGCAGATTGTAACGTTTAATTTAAAGGGTTGAACAAAAATATCTGATAGAAAATGTAGGAATTGTACACATTTGTTTACAAACACTCCACATTTTAGGAGCTCAAAAGTAATTGGACATATAAACATAACCCAAAAAAAAAAGTTTTTTCTCAATATTTTGTTGCGAATCCTTTGGAGGCAATCACTGCCTTAAGTCTGGAACCCATGGACATCACCAAACGCTGGGTTTCCTCCTTCTTAATGCTTTCCCAGGCCTTTACAGCCGCAGCCTTCAGGTCTTGCTTGTTAGTGGGTCTTTCCGTCTGAAGTCTGGATTTGAGCAAGTGAAATGCATGCTCAATTGGGTTAAGATCTGGTGATTGACTTGGCCATTGCAGAATATTCCACCTTTTTGCTCTCATGAACTCCTGGGTAGCTTTGGCTGTATGCTTGGGGTCATTATCCATCTGTACTGTGAAGCGCCGTCCGATCAACTTTGCAGCATTTGGCTGAATCTGGGCTGACAGTATATCCCGGTACACTTCAGAATTCATCCGGCTACTCTTGTCTGCTGTTATGTCATCAATAAACACAAGTGACCCAGTGCCATTGAAAGCCATGCATGCCCATGCCATCACGTTGCCTCCACCATGTTTTACAGAGGATGTGGTGTGCCTTGGATCATGTGCCGTTCCCTTTCTTCTCCAAACTTTTTTCTTCCCATCATTCTGGTACAGGTTGATCTTTGTCTCATCTGTCCATAGAATACTTTTCCAGAACTGGGCTGGCTTCTTGAGGTGTTTTTGGGCAAATTTAACTCTGGCCTGTCTATTTTTGGAATTGATGAATGGTTTGCATCTACATGTGAACCCTTTGTATTTGCTTTCATGGAGTCTTCTCTTTACTGTTGACTTAGAGACAGATACACCTACTTCCCTGAGAGTGTTGTGGACCTCAGTTGATGTTGTGAACGGGTCCTTCTTCACCAAAGAAAGTATGCGGCGATCATCCACCACTGTTGTCTTCCGTGGACGCCCAGGCCTTTTTGAGTTCCCAAGCTCACCAGTCAATTCCTTTTTCCTCAGAATGTACCCGACTGTTGATTTTGCTACTCCAAGCATGTCTGCTATCTCTCTGATGAATTTTTTCTTTTTTTTCAGCCTCAGGATGTTCTGCTTCACCTCAATTGAGAACTCCTTTGACTGCATGTTGTCTGGTCACAGCAACAGCTTCCAAATGCAAAACCACACACCTGGAAACAACCCCAGACCTTTTAACTACTTACTTGATTACAGGTTAACGAGGGAAAGGCCTTTTGAGTTACTTGCAGCCTTTAGAGTCCATTGTCCAATTACTTTTGGTCCCTTGAAAAAGAGGAGGCTCTGCATTACAGAGCTATGATTCCTAAACCCTTTCTCCGATTTGGATGTGGAAACTCTCATATTGCAGCTGGGAGTGTGCACTTTCAGCCCATATTATATATAAATTGTATTTCTGAACATATTTTTGTCAACAGCTAAAATAACAAAACCTGTGTCACTGTCCAAATATTTCTGGCCCTAACTGTATATTACTGAATCGACTTGAAAGTTGTGTTGGACTCTCCGGTTCGGTGCTCGACTGGTTTGAATCTTACATAAAGAACAGGGATTTCTTTGTTTCAAATGGAAACTTCTCATCAAAGAGGTCAAAGGTCACATGTGGGGTACCCCAAGGTTCAATCCTAGGACCCCTCTTTTTCAATATTTATATTCTCCCACTAGCTCAGGTTATAACAGGAAATAACATTAGCTACCATAACTATGCGGATGACACAGCTCTACATTACGATGTCACCAGATGACTCGGAACCCATCCAATCACTGAATAAATGCTTAGAACAGATAAATGTGTGGATTAGAACAGAGTCATGTGTCAAAAATTTCTCCAGCTGAACAAAAACAAAGCTGAAGTAATTATTTTTGGACCTAAAGAGGAACGATCTAAAGTCAATGCACAGCTTCAGTTATTACAACTAAAAACTACCGATCAGACCCGAAACTCGGACCTGAACCTTGCGAGCCACATAAAGACGATTACAAAGTCGGCCTTCTATCACCTGAAGAACATCTCCAGGATTAGAGGACCAATGTCTCAGCCAGATCTAGAGAAACTCATCCATGTGTTTATCTTTAGACGCATTGATTATTGCAACAGCGTCTTCACAGGCCTGTCCAACAAATCAATCAAACAGCTGCAGCTGATCCAGAACGCTGCTGCTCGCATTCTCACTAAAACCAGGAAAATAGAGCACATAACACCAGTTTTAAAGTCCCTCCACTGGCTCCCTGTAGCTCAAAGAATAGATTTTAAAATACTGTTGTTAGTTTACAAATCACTGAACGGTTTAATACCACAATACATCAAAGATCTGCTGTTGTTGTATCAACCTTCCAGACCTCTCAATTCTTCTGGTTCTGGTCTGCTTTGCATCCCCAGAACCAGAACCAAGAGAGGAGAAGCAGCTTTCAGCATCTATGCACCAAAAATTTGGAACAAACTTCCAGAAAACTGTAAAACAGCGGAAACCCTGACTTCCTTCTCAACTAAAAACACACCTGTTTAGAATTGTATTTAAAATGTAATATGTAACAATGTATTGTTTATTCCATGATGCATGACTTTGTGTTTTTGTGATTGTTAAGATGTAAAGCACTTTGAAATGCCTTGCTGCTGAAATGTGCTATACAAATAAAATTTGATTGATTGATTGATTGAGGGGTCAAGGGACATGTGTGGAGCATGTTTGTTCTGACACTAGGAATTTGAATTTACAAGATTTAAGTTTTTTTGTTTTTATTTTTTACTTACCTTAAAACAAGTTTTCCAGCTGAATCACTACACTACATACATCACCGCTCTCTGCATGTGTTTCATATTACATCTGACCTTAATCTACCACATGCTTTATTTACACTTTGGTTTTATTTTGTAAACAAAATAATTTTATTCATTTGCAAAGAGAAGACTTTTAGTAATCTGGGTTGTTTCACAAAATAATGTTCTTTTCTTAGGTCCAAAATGATTTAGGTATGAAATTTAAATTTGAGTGCATCTCTTTAAGTCCAAATACAATTTCAGATACTTAAATGCCTTGTCTGTAGGTCAGATTGGTATTTATTTTCTACTTCATATGAGTATTTAGTAGGTCATCTTAATTTTCTAAATCACTTAGCAGATTTTTGACATTAATGAAGTGTACTTTGCACCTGCAGTCACCCAGTGATACTGACAGCTGCCCTCTGTGAAATATTTTGAGCCTCTTCTAATATCACATTTTCATTAAGAGCAGTGATCCCCACATGCAGGGAGCACATGTTTTAGATGTCTCTGTTCCAGCACACCTGATTCAAATGATTGCATAACCTCCTCTGCAGTCAGAAGCCTGCAGAAGCCTGTCAGTCACCCATTCACTAGTCAGGTGTGGAAGCAAGGAAACACCTAAAATATGCACCGCTGGTGTACCTGAGGACCAAGGATTGGAACTAGCAACCTAAAGACCAGTTTGAGATAACATACCAGGCAGGAGAAGGAGTCATTCATTCGGTGCTGCAGAGTGTGTTTCTGTAAAATGGAGAACAAAGCAGCATGGTCAAAGGAACCAGGAGCTGCAGAGATTAAATCATCCATGCCCTGATGTTGACAGGGATCCAGACCTGAAAAGCAAACACAAAACAGGTCAGAATATCATCTTCACTTTAACAACTGTAATACTTTAGGTTTTTACATTTTAAACAGCAAAGAAATCTATCCCAAAAGTGAGCACAGTTTCAGATCAGAAAGATGATGCTTCAGAACTGTCTAGCAGCTGCTATTTGTAGTTCTTGAGCTTTAACTTTGACCTCTAGGTGGAGGTTTAAAGCTTGTCCTGCTCCTTCACACAGATGCTTCAGTGGAATTGTTCTATACTTATTTTGTGAATAAGTTAAGCTTAGACAAGAATGAGGCAAGAGCTACTTCCAGACTTGTGTTATTGTGTAATTAGCATATTTCCACAGGCTGTGATATCTCTAATTTACCTAATCCTGACACTCTTTATATATGCCTAATAATTGTGTTCACTATTTTAATACCAACTCTCTTACCCCCATCAAACCCAGGATGCATTTTACTCTCTATGTGAGGAAATGCACATGAAACACTCTTCACTATAAAGAAACCATTATAACTACTTCAACTTTTTGTAACTTAATCATAAGTAGGAAAGGTAATACAAAACATGTTTCTCTACTGTCAATAACAGCACATAATCCCCTAACTTCCCTCAAATGTTGCACAAATCTGCTCATGGACGCAGACGTGGGTGCATAAACACATATTTGTGCACCACTCTGCAGCACTTCTCAGCAGGTGAAAGAAATCTGGACCAATCTGCAGCACCATGAACTCAGGTAATACAAGGAATCCAACAACAATTTGGCAGATTTTGCAACAAAGATGAGGAAAGCAAACAGGTTCCAAAGGAGCATTTCATGGGAAGAGGATTTATACTTTTCCCATGATCCACCATGGATGGAGTGATAAAAAATCCACCATGGATGGAGTGATAAAAATGAAAAGACAAAGAAAAGAGGATCAAGAGGCGGGATTCGCAACAGGTTGAAACTTCAAGTCCTCTCCCGACACTAACTCTTTCTAATGTGCGCTCACTTAAAAACAAAATGAATAAACTCTCGGCACTTATAAAATCCGACAGGGACTTTAAACAATCCAACTTGATATGTTTCACGGAGACATGGCTGAACGATGACATAAATAACATTAACTTGGAAGGATATTCCTTAGTTCGCTATGATCGTGACGGAACTAAGACAGCAAAATGCATCGGAGGCGGATTGTGTATGTTTATAAATTCCAGCTGGGCAACAAACATCACAGTATGGGAGACTAAATGCACTGTTCACTTTGAATTAATGACTGTCTCATTTAGACCACACTACTTGCCTCGTGAATTTGGTCAAATAACAGTTATTTTGGTATATGTTCCTGGCCCAGATTTTAAACTCGCTGCAGATGATATAGCTGCCAGTTATAACAAAGCACTGCACCAGTCAGGGGATGACCCTGTTTTTCTCTTGGGGGATTTCAATAAATGTGACGTCTCCCCACATCTGCCAAATTTGGAGCAGTATATTACATGCATGACGAGACAGAACAAAATTCTTGATAAATGCTATGGGAATGTGGAAGGTGCCTATGCTTCCCGGGCCCGCCCCCCTCTAGGTCTGTCAGATCATAATGTCATTCACCTTCTTCCAAAGTACCGTCAATTGTTGAAAAGGACCAAACCCACTATAATTCATTGCCAGGCCTGGACAGACAGCTCGGTGGACATGCTGAGAGGCAGTTTTGAAGTTACAAAATGGGAATTGTTTTTTAATGTTTGTGGGGGCAATACTGAGCATACAGTGACCTCCATATTCCAGGGTCTGAACCCTCATAAAGCACCTGGCCCAGACGGACTTCAGGGGAGGGTTCTAAAGGAATGCGCTATCCAACTAGGTCCTGCTATTACAAAGATATTTCAGATGCTGTTTAACAGTAACCACTATCCTAAAGCCTGGAAGACAGCTACCATTATCCCTGTGCCAAAAACTTCCCATGCCAAAACTAACAGTGATTTTAGACCTATTGCCCTTACATCCATTCTTAGCAAATGCATGGAGTGTCTAATTCGTAATAACCTGCCCCGCCAGGTAGCAGGTCAATTAGATCCCATGCAATTTTCTTATAGAACCAACAGGGTGGTGGAGGACGCCACACTCACTCTTCTAAATAACTTGCAGTGTCACTTGGATAAACCTAAGACTCATGCCCGTGTTCTATTCATGGACTTCTCTTCTGCCTTTAACACGGTGCAGCCACACCTCCTTCTACAACGCCTCTGTGACCTGCAAGTCAGTTCTGGTCTGGTTCTCCTCATCAGGGATTTTTTGAGGGATCGACCCCAGCATGTGTGCATTAAGAACTGCCTCTCTGACTCTCTGGTCCTCAACACAGGAGTTCCCCAAGGATGTGTGTTATCACCTTTGCTCTTCTCCATATACACCAATGAGCTACATCAAACTGATGACCTCTCCCTCATTAAGTACGCAGATGATATGGCTCTAATTGCCTGCATATGGGAAGCAGATACCTCCCCCTACCTGCAGTATATTAACAGCTTATCTGCATGGTTTGACAGCAGCTTCCAGGACCTTAATGTCTCCAAAACCAAGGAGATGTGGCTAGGAAGCAACAAGAAGGGAGGCAATAAAGACCAGGGGCACACCTTCAGGCCAATCAGCATGAAGGGTCAGGAGGTGGAGCAGGTGACTCAGTTTAAATACCTTGAGACAGTCATAGACAGTCACCTACAGTTTCAAGACCATGTGGATTACACATTTAAAAAAGGTAGACAGCGCCTGGCTCTCCTGAGAAGACTCAGGGGCTTTAACACCAGTCAGCGCACTATGTCTATGGTCTACAAGTCCTTGACCGAGAGTGTGCTGACATTCAACATCGTGTCATGGTATGGGTACCTCTCTGTCAAAGAAAAGAACAAACTGGGACAGATCGTCAACCAGGCTGGAAAGATTATTGGACTTAAACAGCGGCAACTTTCACATTTGTACACGTGGGCCTTAACAAAGAAGGCACATCAAGTCTATCTGGACCCGACTCATCCTCTTCACTGTGCTCTCCAGTTGCTGCCATCTGGACATAGATTTAAAGTCCCAATGGCAAGGAAGAATGGCTACAAGCGATCATTTGTTCCATCAGCTGTGGATATTCTAAATAAAAATCTGACTGGATAAGTTTATGTGTTCTCCAAGTCTGCTAGTTGTATTCGACTGATTTTAAATTTCACACAGTAACACAGTGCATTGTGACTCAGTGTAGAAGTTCTGTGTGCTCTCTTAGCAGTATAGTAAATTTTAAATTTTTAATATTAACTGAATGACATGAGTATAGTATGACTTGATTTCATTTTACAGATCTTGTTTGTTCATTGTGCATGCAGTTTTGTGGCGACTGTGATGTGTGTTTCTTGTGCCATTGCCAAAGATAAATTTCCATTTTATGTAAGTTTAATGGATAATAAAGGAGTCTAAAGTCTAAAGTCTAAATTTAATATAAATAGAGAAACTTTTATTTAACCTTTCAAATAAAATAACCATGTAACAGTGACATAAAATTTCAAGTAATTATGCTCAAATTTGCATAAACGTTAGCTCATATATTTCAGAAATCTTAGAATCGAATCTCTGAGGTCATTTTCTTTAAATGCAAAATCAATCTACTCAAGTAAAAGTAGCAATAATATTACTCAAGTAAAAGAAAAAAGTACAGAGAAGTAAAACAACTAGCATAAATAAATGTTCCAAACAAGTGAGTCAATGTAACCAGTACTACCCACATTTCAACATAGACTAACAAAATCAATAGCCTTGATCTTGTTAACGGTTGTCTCGGCATTATCTAGTCATCTTTTAGCTAACCTTATCCACATTCAACAGCATACTTACCTTACTCTGCTAGGGTGAGTAAAGTAGACCGGTAGACTCTGTTCGATTGGGGACTAAAACTGCAACATTTGTTACATTTTCAGAACTGTAGTTTGCATTCACACTGCACTGTCAAGCGACTACAACTAATTTAAAAACCTGCTTATAAGTATTCTTCCCTTGATATAAATCTGTAAACAGTTTGGTTTCTATCAAGATGCAAGACTATGCAAATTGCTCTTTTATACTTTAATTATGAATAATTACATAATTGCTGCTGTTAATTTTATTAGTTTGTCAAAATGTAACAAACCATGACTCATATACTTTATAAAAGGGACATATAAAATATGTCATCCTATTAGATGATTAAATGTTCAAACAACCGAGGCAATTAGTCCCGTTTTTGTGATTTATTAAAGGTTTAAAAATTACAGCAGCTGCGAGCGTCACAGATTTAAGCTGAAACAACTTTCAACCATTTATATTCTGCTTTTCCTAGCTTTCTGTGTTGGAATGCAGACCCGTTGCCATGACAACCAACACATCATTTTCTTAACCTGCAGTGACTAATATATTGACCAGAATGTCCCGCACCATTGCTAATTTCCTGCTTTTGGAATGGTCTCTAGTACGGTTGTGTTCAGACAGGTTTTCTATAGTTTTTGAGTCCACTTCAACCAGACCGACACTTAGGTTTTAGGTGGATTGGAGTTCGGTTTTTAAGACCATTTTGGAATTCAAATTTGCATTCTGACCTCCCCCAAAAAATCTGACTTTCTAGACAAACTGATTAGAGTCTGATTCAGGACTCTAATCCTGGGTTGGTCTGAATGCATCTTTAGTTTGGGGAAGGGGGCTTATGCAAAGTTCTTTGCCATTTGCTGCCATGATTCCAACACACACCTGCTCTGCACAGCAGCAGCATGTCTCCATCACTGCCACACAGGTGTAAAAACTGCAACACCTTAGCGCTCATGCTGCATGTAAAGGGGGCTCGGAGAAGCACGTTACATGTTAACAGTGGTTAAACAGTAGTAACAGCTAAGAAAAAAAAGGGCCGGGCACAGAGCACACAGACACGGGAAGTGCAGGAGCTCCTACTGAATCAAATCAAGACAAGAATAACAGAAAGTCGGCCACTCTGAGGGATCCAGGAGATGGGGTGG